GCACTCAGCAATGTGGCTTCTGCCACACTCAATGCCCTACCTCCGCACGGCCTGACAGCCAACCTAGGACCTGCCAAAACGGCAGCAGTTGTTTCGGTTGCAGGTAAAGGCTCCCGTGCAGCACGTAGGGAACTTTTCAGTACCCTACGTGGTAAACTTCCTGTATGGCTCGAGACCTCTGGCCTTATCCGACTTGATCTGGTGACGTCCTATCGTCACCTTGGCTCAGTCCTTACGTGCTCTGGGGACATGCTGCCAGAGGTGAAACACAGGTTGGCCCTAGGTCGGGCCGCTTTCCGAGAGGGAAAGCAACGGCTGTTCGCCTGCAAGTTGATCCCACTTTCCAGACGAGCCATCTTGTTCAGGTCCCACGTTCTTGCAACAACGGTCGCAGGTTGTGGCACTTGGCCTTTGCTTGAGCCTGGTGCTTGGAAGGCGTTTTCAGGCGGCCTGGTGGGGTTGTTTCGGCAGCTTCTCGGCCTGTGGCAGGAAGAATGGCGAGTCACCGAAGCAGAGATCATCGCTAGAACAGGGTTGCCTACTCCTTCTGCCCTTTTGTGCATGGAGCGGCTTCGTTTCCCCGCGCTTTTGGTGCGTTCTGGCCCGGATTCTGTATGGGCCCTCCTACAGCAGTACGGCCCTTTCAAAAGTGCCTTACAGGATGCTTCTCTGTGGCTTCTGCAGGCTACTCGTGACCTCTCCCCGCTGGGCGACATTGCTGGCAACTGGCCCGATTGGCATAACCTTATTCTGCACACTCCGGGCAGGTTCAAGAGCCTTATTAGGCGAGCAGAGTACTGGCACATTGAAGTAGGCCGCATCAAAGCGGTGTTTGACACGGTCAGCCGCACTGCTTGGCCCTGCAGCCCTCCTGATGCAAGTGCCGTGCTGTCTGAGTGCAAACATGCATGTTTGCGTTGCAAAGTCGCCTTTGCTTCTCGACAGGCCTGGGGTGCTCATGCTCACAGGATGCACGGGTACCACCATCCCGCGCACGGCGCAGCATGTGGTCGTCGATGTCAGGCCTGCGGTTTGATTGTTTCCAGCGTTGCCAAGCTTCGTTTGCATCTCAAACACACTCCAGCATGTCTGCACACCATTCGCCACGGTACGGCCTCCGAGCTTTATCCTGTTGAATCCTCCAGTGCGCACGCACAGGCTCCAGCGGAAGCCGGTCCTGGCCGCATGGTTTCTGATGTCGTGATTGAGGAAGAATGCGATGAGCTGCGTTCGATCCTGCACGCTGCCGCATTTCATACTGACCAGGATATTTTCGATGCCGTGTCAGGATGCATTGCGCCTCTGCCGGCCTTACGTAGCACCCTTCAGGCGTGGGGCGCTTCTCTTCCCGAAGGGGACCTTCGACAGGCCTGCTTTGATGTTCTCCTGATCCTGCACCCGGAACATATATGTGAGCGTGTATCCGGGCGGCTCCCGACGGTGGAGTCTGGTCCGCGCCTGCCTCTGATTCGGCCCGCACTTTTCCGTGCACCTGATTTCTCGTTGCCGGTTCTGTGGTGCGGGGGACTCTGTCCTGCTTGGGTCAAGCACTGGCGCTTGGAGGCGCTGCCTCCCGTTCAGCTTGAGTTCCCCCCTCTTGGGTCTCTGCGCCTGCCCAGTGCCGCCGGGTATTACTTTGCGCCTCCTCCCCCACCCTTTTGCCCGGTGGAAATCCTTGCACCTGCGCCCGGACCAGTCCGTTCTCTTCGGGCCTTTCGGATCTGGTTTGAGGCCTTTGGAAGCATTGTCTCCCAGCTGCTCAATCAGGCGCAATCAGGCACTCCCGTGCACATCAGAGCTCCCTTTAGCTCTGTCACCGCTGCCCCTCTCTCAGACTGGCTCCTCCGGCTGCAAGGTTCCACCGACGGTGGCAGCAAAGACAGAGCTTTTTGTTTCACCTGTGAATTCATTTTCATGCAGTAGGCACGTCTCGTGGACTTTTCGCCTAACAGAAAGAAAGAAGGCCCCGACATTATGGGCTGCAGGCTTCAAGGGGTGTCGGGGCCAGGGTTTCGAGAGTTTGGGCCCATGGTAGTTCCTTTTTGGGATTACCTTATAGGATTTTATATATGAACCCCAAAAAGGAACTAGGGTTTAGGGTTTAGGGTTTCGGGTTTAGGGTTTAGGGTACTATGGGCCGGCTTCAGGGTCTTGGTCTGGGGGCCTCGGAGCTCGGGGCTTCTCATGGAAGACGATCCCGCAGATGAAGCGATCTACAGACTTGTTGATAGCTTTTGCTGGGGTTTTGTGAAGATGGGCGCTTTGTCAGGTGTCGATAACAGAAGCTGTCAGTTTCCAGTGGTGAGACAACCTTCCGAGACACCTCATCACTCGTCGGACAGGGCTTGAAGCAACCACTTTGAACAGAAAGTTTTTTCGGTGTGAGCACGCCGCCGCACCTGCCGGATGTGTTTCGGAGCCCACGGACGGAGCTGAAATGCTTGCCGACACCCTCCACAAAAAAGTCTGCGACTGTAAACAAGACAGGTGTAACTATCGAGAAGGATGATGCTTTCCCTCCTCGAGCGCATGGCTTACAGTATGGGTTGCCCAAGTGCTTTGTGACTGGAGCACTCGCCCCCGGCCTCTGGACAGATATACTTGGCCGGCGCTTGGGAACCGCCTTTCACCCTAAACCCCCAAAGCCATGAACCTTAAACATCAAAGATTTTGGGTGTTGGTGCGAGATGGTTGGTAGTCTTCTGGTCTCTGGTTTACTACCTCAGCCTTTCAGGCGTTCTAACTGGATTGCCAGGCAGAAGAGAGGTCCCAACAAAGAAAAGAAACGCGAAGCCCAAAACCCCGCCTCCGCAAGCCCGTAGTAACACACCCTGCAAGGATGGTTGGTGTCTTCGGGGCCATGTCTGCTGCCATGGCTACTGGACGTCTAGCTTCAGGGATCTTCAAGGGTTTACGGTTTGGTGGTTTTTAAGGTCTCGGGCTTAGGCCAGTTCAGGAGGTCAGGTTCCAGTTCCGGCGCTTGTGACACGCGCCGTTGAAAAGATCGGGGATTCAGATCAGGGCTGGGGCCAAAATCCTGCCCTCCTGGTGGAGCTGGTGATTTTTTGCTGTTGGTCTCTTGGAGATGTTGCCATGTTCTGCTGCTGTATGAACCTGATTAAGAAACCCTGGCCCTATAACCCCAACATAGTAGGGTTCATACGGGTTCATACTAAGAACCCTAATAAAGGCCCAGGGTTTCTTAATCAGGTTCCTACATGACCCTGCGTCCCGAAGGATGGCCGGAACCCCATAAGCTTCCTAAGCCCTGAGCCCCCGAATCTTGAGGCCCTGTGAGCCGAAAACTAGCACCAAAGCAGCTTGATGTAGGGGCCTTAATAGTGAGCATAGGGTTTGGGGGGTACTAAACTATAGTGATAGTTAGGAACCCCCCTAAATAGTATAGGTAATTATTGAGGACCCTGCATTAAAGATGCAGAGCTTCAAACTGGAGCATCCTGAGCCCTAAACCCGCAGCATCGCATCCTTAAACTTCCCAAACCCCAAACCCTAAAACCCTAAAGCCCTATAACCCTAAACCCTACAACCCTCAAACCCTAAAACCCCAAACCCTAAAACCTAAAACCCTCATTGCTAAGTATTTAGGTCCCTACACTACACACCCTCTAAGCCACCAGTGACGCCCAATGCGAGGTTAGCCTCAGCTCCGGAAGTTCCTGGCACTCAGAAGGGTTTTAGTATTCGGGGGGGGTCTGATAAGCTTTAGGGTTTAGGGTTTAGGGTTTTTCTTTTAGTATTGGGTGGTCTAAAGGATCAGAGTAGAGGGGTTATGGTTTAGGGTTTAGAGATCAGAGTAGAGGGTTCCTTTGCAGAGTTCCTTCAAAAGGATTCTACAAAGGTTGCTTGAAGGGTTCTATGATGCAGGGGGCTTCATTGATTGAAGATTAGAATATGGTTTTCGGATTTAAGGTCCTGGAGCTGCTACTCGTCTTGGCAATTCCCGTCGCTTTAGTTGTTTCCGCCTTCTCTTCTTCCCCCTCCGCCCGGCCTGTGGTACTAGCGTCCTACATCAACCATTATGCTGCATATGATTCGTATGTTCCTTTGTATACACGATCTTGACACTGAGCTCTGCGTTCTGAAGACCTTCGTGCCCCCCTCAGCCCTGGCCAGGCTCGAAGCTCGAAGCCCGTTCTAGCGACTACCTTCCCAGAGACTCCAATATCCCGTAATTAAGGAATATACCTTAAATCAGACTAAGGATCCTACTATAGTTTAAGGAATATTCCTTAATTAAGGAATATTGGCGGCTCTGGGTTTGAAGACACCTTTCGGAAGTTTCAGTCTCGGGGCTTGTCAAGCAGCAGACTCTTTCGGCAGCCCGCTGCAGAACCAAAAATCCGGAAAGCCTAGCAGCCTAAGCCTGGAACCCCCACATGCCGGCGACCGAGGCTTTTTCATCGCCAGCATTCTGCTTGCGCCACTTGGGTCTTGCTGTGTTGGTATGTGTACCTTGCTCCATGAATGCACCGCGTCGAAGTATGAAGCAACACCCATGCAAAGAAGCCTTCCTTACATTCCCGGTGGCCAGAACCTAAAGCCCGTGGAACCGGAGCAAGCACCCCAAAACCTTCCGAAGCACAGTTATTAAAATTCATTGCCTCATCAACCACGCAGAATCACGCAGACTGGACGAAGCCCAAGCCGCCTTCCACGAGGATTGGAGGCTCTGCTGGCCTGGTCCTGGGTGTGCGAGTCAGTGCCTGGGCCATTCGGTGGGGGGCCTTTTTTGCCTGGCTTGTAGTTCTATGGGCCCGAAGCTCTAAGCCATAAAGTGCCACGTATTCATGCTTGTGAAGGCAGTTCCTGCTCGCAGATACAGTATACCCAACGCCGGGGAGAGGTTGAAGCGGGTTCTTGATCTTCGTTTGGATTCCTCTTGTACATTCTTGCGTTATTCTTACTGCAGGCTGGTATCAGGAAGATGCTGGGATTCTCATGACATCATTTTTGTTGATTCTGCTCTGCATGGCTGCGCCACTTCCCTCAATACTCTGAACATCTGAAAGCAAGCAAGGCTGAAACCGGAAGTCCGAGATCCCAAAGGCAACCCAGCAACAAGCAAACACAGCAGGCGCGCAGAAGGATGCCAACAACCATAGCAAAAATAATAGCAAGAAGAACGGAACACGACAAGCATGATTATTGGTAGTATTCTTATAATTCGTATTCTTCGTGTTATTGTTGATATTGAAAAGAAGGGCAGCAATGCACGCCGAAGCTCGGAGCCAGAGTTGCAGCTGTTCCCTGGCAACCTGGTTGACCCCACCTATGGCCTCAACAAAAGATAGGAGGGTGAACGGGGTTTGTCGTTTGAGGGGGGTCAGGATACAAGTAGCACTTTTCAAGTTCTGGGTTTGGGGTGACAGGGTTTGAGTTTAGGGCTTAGGGTTTTGGGCATACAGCACTTCTTCCCGGATAGGATTTCCAAGCACCGTGGGTCCAGTCTCAGCTAAGGCCCGGAAGTATACCACCCCAAGATCTTCGGGGGCTTCAGGCTACGAAGCCGTCAATATTAAACCCGAACCTGAACCTTCTATATGCTTCTATATGGAATCTTCAACCTTAGCCTTAGCAGTATTTTCAAACAACGTCCTAGACTACACCCCGACTTGCATCTAGATGATATCTTCCGCGCCTCCCCCCCTTCGCAAAATTTGTGGCAATCCCAGAGACTCCAATATCCCTTAACTAAGGAATATACCTCAACTATACCTCAACTATTATTAGGGTTCCTACCATAACTACCATAATTAAAGGTATATTCCTTAATTAAGGGGATCTTGGAGTCTCTGGCAGCCATTTTCCCAGGTCCCATCGCTTTGCCCCAGACCGTGGCGGCCTTCCACTCGCTGGTGGGCCTTGCAGCCATGTGTGCCCTGGGCTTTTACGGCGGCCTTTGCGCCGCTTTTTTGGAGGCTGAAGATGTAGGGGGTTTGAGTAATCACCTATACTATTATGGGGGGCTCCTTATGATAATTATAGTACAATCGGCCCCAAAACCCTATTCTAATTGTTAAGGCCCTTTATTCGGGCTGAGGGCTCAGGGCTTCGGTAGAGGGTTTAGGGTCGAGGGCACGGGGCCTTTGGGGGTTCGATGGAACACGTTCGCCCAGGCACATCCATCGGCTCCTTTGTGGAGAACCCCGAGGCGCTCTAGCTAAATCCCGACTGAATGCCAACATGGTATGCACAGACAGAGACCGTCACGTGTGCACCCCCCCCCATTCTCTCCCTGAGCCCGAAAGTCTAACCTTGCAGGCCGGTGCCACTATGGAAAATGTGGCTGCGGTCCTTGGTGACTTCATCGGCGGCGTGACGCTCACGGGCAGTACCTCGTATGAAGATGTTGGGACTTGTGGACAGCACATGCCTATAACCCCGAGAAGACATACAGTAGTCCCAATTATCCACTCTTAACAGTCTAAGCCTATGCCCTAAATCTCCCGGACCCGGCAAACCGAAGCGCCTGAAAGTGGTCTGGGTTCCCACCTCACACGCCCCGCTCGAGTTGCAGGCATTGGCAGAGGGTTTCAGAATCTAAATTCCTCAACCCTAAACCCTTAAATCCTAAACCCTAAACCCTAAATTCTATGTCTCTCGGACTTAGATTTGGGGTTGTTAAGTTCAAGGTCAATTCAACCGTCAAGCACTAACTAAGTCGAAAACCCCTGCGTGCGGCAAGACGGCGCAAGGGCGGGTGCAAGCACTGTCCTACTTCCTGGGCATGGCTCCTTTAATTTAGGATTTAGAACAACATCCACATGAAGAGGCAGAAGCGCATCGTTTCAATTGGTCGTTTCCGACCAACTTTGAGCCCGACGACACTGACGGCCGCCATTATCCTCCCGTAAATCTAACCGCCCCTATTTCGGGTTCAGGCTTTACGCAGGTTTATTGCGGCGGCCCGATGTCACTCGGATACGATAGCGACTAGAGAGTTGATGACAAGCCGCGGACTAAGATGCAGTCCTGGCGTCCCATTTGCAGGAAGCACACCAGGAAGCAGGAAGATACATGAAGACGGAGCACTTCATCTCACTAGCTTCCATCAGAAAGTTGCAATCCGTAGCACTAGTGTAGATCTCGGTTTTACCAGGAGCAACCAGTGTCGTAGCATTTCTGGGGAGTTGCCGCTAGCGGCACGAAGACCATCTTAAGTTCTCTAAACCCTAAACCCTAAACCCCAAACCCCTAAACCCTAAGCCCCAATTCCTAAGCTCTTTCCAGGTCTGATAGCTTTCGGGAAGCTGAACGGAAACCTTGCGTCCAAGCCCCTGGACTTGCCAGGCCGGGATTTGTGCACCGCTAGTATGCATACTATGTTAGTCTAGTCTAGTATTATAAGGTCTATATACTAGTAATACTAGTATACTGTTCTCGTATAAATATTAATACTGTAGTATTCGTATTGTTGTTGTTATTGTAGTTGTCCTTTTTGCTGTCGCCATCACAACTGCCTTGCTTATCTACATTCGATCTGTGCAATGACGCTTCTTTATTGTTCTTGTTAACGCTATTGAACAGTTTCGGATTCAGGGCTTTGAAGGCTTAAAGTTTCTCGTGGTGGCGGGGGGATCTCCTTGAGCGCAAAACGCTGAGAGCGCCCCGTAGACCTGGTCCCAACCGAACTTCTGCACCTGAACCCCCAATTACCCCAGCCCTCCTCTGAACCACGAAGCAGCTCCGTGCATCGAGTTTGAAGCATTTGGCTAGGGAAGAACTACCTGAACCTTGGTGGACTCTTCTTCTTCCTGTACCTGATCTACGACTTCCTGGGCAGCTCTGGCAGGAGTCTTAGAAGATGTCCCGCTTTGGGGGACCCGCAGCGATTGAACGAGCCTGTTCTGGGTGCCTGTGGTCATGCGCATGGGACCACGTCAGTAAAAACACTATTCATGATGACCATGGTGCTACTTCCGTGCGCAGCTTCGCAAAATTATGTGGCACGTGCCAAAACACCAGACCACCACAATAGGACCACAACACATCTGCTTGTCCCAAGCAGTTTGTCAAGCTCCATGCGTGAGGCTGCCTGAACCCAGCAAAAAACTTGACCAAAGCAGAATCTAGTATCATCGTGCTCCAAGGCGATTTCCTAACCCGCAGCACCTAGCCTGTCCCAGTGGAGACTTCTGTTTGCATAGATCGAGTTTTCACTGTTGCGGGAAGGCTCAATGTAAGCAAGTAAGAGAGTGCCCAGCAGGACTTCAGAAGGTATCCTGGAGCGTTTCCTAGCGTTTGCCAACCCTGTGCTCGGGACACTTTGCGTGTTTTGGGTAGGGGGATCGAGCTTGGGGAGGCATCGGGAGCTGTTGTGTGCAGTTGGCTACGGCGTATACGGGCCTCACGGAAGTTATGAGCGTGCTGCATGAACTTGAAATCCGACGTGGTCAAACCGCATGTGTCACTCAAGTGCTCTAGATGTAGACTCAAGGTTCATAGGGTCAGTTGGAAATCGTTAAGCGCGAACGAAGAAACCCAGACATTCTAGCTATGATAGTGCTTCGACCATGCGCCCGAGGCCACTATGGCATCTTACTGCTTTGGGTCGTAGCCGCTTTGGCTTGCGTCATGGGCGTGCACCTGGTGGGCAGCGTAGGAGGAGGCAGGAGCTGTGAAGAGGGGTGCAGGGTTGACGGGGCACTACAAAGCCATTCCTGGTACCTGCAACCGCGTGAGGTATTGAGAGACTCGGACTGACCACGAGTGTCCACCCTCATTTGCGTGCGTCTACCCATATATATGATCCCGGTTCT